AATCACAAGTTAAAAGCATATATATAAAGATGTTAAAATAGATATAGTACCTTCCGTCATTATCTATTTCTAACAAATTGAAGTGAAGGATTAAGGAGAATATAAACTCAAAAACTTGAACATCTTCTTTGAAGTACTCTCATTTTATTATTTAATTTGTTTTTGTTCATTATTTTTTGAGTACATATTTTTCTTGTTCTTTATTGTTAATTATTTAACTGAAGTTAGTTTTTTAATAGTACTTAGATTTGAGTTTTGGATATAAAACTAAATTTTAGCTCTATATTATTATTTTAAATTATATTTAAGTTTAAATTGTAATAAAACAATATTTTATTAAACTTTTACTAGTTTTATTTAAGTATAGATTAAAAATAAATAATATTTTATTAAATTTTAATCTGAAAAAATATTTAAAATAAAATATCCTTTAACAAATAAATAATATATACTTACAAATTACTTAATACCTATTGGATTAAATATCAAATATAGATTTTTAAGTAATTAGATAATTATGAAACCTAAAAAACTATACTTAAATTCTTTTTTTTTTAACATGGGGGGAATGTCGAGGAATGAGATAATTTGACTACTATTGTATCGGCTAGAATTATGATAAATACTAAAAATTTAATGCACTTAAACCAAAACAGTCAAAACTACATGTGCTATATTTAAAATTTTTTAAATTAAATACCATATATAATTTATATCGGACATATACCTAAAACTACTCACGCTTAACTTTAACTAATTTAAAAAATTGGTTTGTACTAGTCTTAGTGGGCCTTCTTTTGGACACTAAAAATCTAAAATTAACATGTTTGGTCCCCAGGAAAATGGATGGAAAGAAACATGAAAATAACGTATACTACCTACTTCAACTCACAACCACAACTAATTGCTTGAGTGCTTTCCCCTTCATAAAAAGACAGGCTATCACTCTGGCCGTCTGAACCAAAAGCAAGCAGGCTATTGATCTGTTGAAAAAAAAAAAGGGGGGTGGTAAGCAATGAAAATTAGACCATGTTGAACCCACCCTGATCAATGGTCATAAAATTTATGCCCTCATTCATTCCTTGATTGAATATTGAAAAGTTAAACATTTAAACTTCAAAGTTGTAATATGCTTTATATATGTACAAGAGTGAACGCCTTAGCAAAGGTGGTAAAACTAAATATCTAATCATAATAGAATTTTTACTTTTCTACATATGATTTTATGATTTTTGAATTGTAAAGATGTCTCAAAATAATTTGAACACATCTCAAAACTAATTTCATTTAAATTGACAATAGGAGTTCATGTTAAACATTGTTTTGAACTGCCAATTTAGATATGCCAACCAGCAACACGAATTCCTAGTTTCATTAAAAAAGTTGGCTTCCAAAAATTGACAATCAAACTTTAATCAAAGAAAAGATTTGCTTTGAACATTTGGAAAAAAGATATTATCGACCACTTAGGTCTAAGGTGGTGGTAAGTTCCCCGCCGCTAATTGATGCAGCGAACTCCTGTCTGATCGGGGAAAGCGTGGCCGGCCACATGAAAGCCGGTTTCTCCTTCGGCACAACCGGAGCAGCTGCTTCCCCTGTAAGAACCTGCAAAACCGTCCTCATTAATGGCCTTTCGTACGGATTCGGATGGCAACATGCTAACCCCAACATCACTATGCACTCTGTTTCACCTTTCTTGAAATCCCCATTCAATCTCACATCTACAACATCCCCAATCCTCTCCATCCCGTAATTCTCCCAAACCCAATCCACAATACCGTGTTCATTTTCGGGTTTTCTCCCACAAACAACTTCCAGAATCAAAACACCAAATGCATAAACGTCTGTTTCCACCGTGGCCTTCCTGGTATGGAAGCTTTCTGGGGCCATGTACCCTGGAGTTCCGGCAATCTCCTTGGTCGAATAGTGTGCTTTTTCATTCACCTGAATCGTCCTGGCTAAACCAAAATCCCCCAACCGTGCATTGAACTCAGAATCCAACATTATGTTGCTTGGCTTCACATCTCGATGAAGAACCCTTCTCTCACACCCGTTATGGAGGTAATCCAGCGCCCGAGCCACACCGCAGATGATGCCATGCCTTCTTTCCCAGCTCAGGATTGTATCAGCCTCACGGAAAATGAACTTATCTAGACTCCCATTAGGCATGAATTCATAAACCAGAAGGAGTTCATTGCTTTCATAGCACCATCCGAAGAGTTTTACAAGGTTTCTGTGATGAAGATTGCTTATGGTTGTCACTTCCGCAAGGAAATCCTGCTTTCCATGGCGGGTGTTCTTCAGAATTCTTTTTACAGCCACCTCTCTATTATTCAGGATGCCTTTATACACCATCCCGAATCCTCCTTTCCCCAACTTGTAGGCAACGTTGAAATCTCTGGTGGCATCTTTGAGTTCCTGCAATCGAAATTTCTGCGGCGCAGTTGATAAACTCTGAATTTCTTGTTCAATCTCCAATTCATCTTCTTCCATTTGTTTCTTTCTGTTTCTCCGCTTCCAGTAAAAGAAATAGAAACACCATGAAAACAGAGTTATCAAAACAAGAACTGGAATCACAATCCAAAGCCAGAGGAGGTTGATCGAATTTTTTACTCTGATCTCAAAACTGCTGAAATTCCAGGATTTAACAACATTCAACTCCGTATTCTCTCCAGTTGAAGCCGAAAACCCCACCCAAACATCGGCCGGGAGTTGTGTAGAGAGATCAAGATGAACATTCAACAGCGGATTGTCGAAATTCCCTTCCCCTGTTTCCCCTGTTCTTGTTGAGAACACAAAAACTGAAATTTTTTCTGATTTTGCATCATACTGAATGCTTGCAGTGATATCCTCGCCGGAGGAAAGATTGACGCCATGGCCAATCAAGGGTTCTTGCTTGATTGAGTAGATGCTCTTGATATTGACCCCAACATGATTGTCATCAATATCTTCAGAATCACTCTTTTTGGTATCGAATTCTATGGCAACAATGTTCAGTAGATTCACTGTAGTTGAATTCACGACTCCGAGCCATTGGCCGGCGCTGTTGTTCGGGAGAGAGCTGTCCTCTGTTATTATGAAGGCTAACCCCTCGCCGCCGGGTGAGGTCCATGGATTTATGTTGAACACGAATGTGGAATAGAATGAGGCCTTTGTGCCTCTTGGTCCGTCCCATAGTTTCAATTTTTGATTGTATAGGACCCTCCCTGATCTCCGCCGCATATCAATTTCTCTGGCATTATCAGGAGTGACTTGAATGGCATTTTTTATGATGAATGGGAAATTGCTAGAAATAAAATCACTGGCATTTTCATTGCTAAATGAAGGGTAAGAAAAATCCAAGCATCCTACATGAACAATGCTGATGCATATGAGTATGATTAGAAGCTTCAAAACTCGAAGGAAGGACATGAATCCGAGCATATGAAACTTCAATCTAGATTTCTGGGTTCATGGATAGATGAATGAAGAAATGCAGGGTCAAATCGTGCTCAGATCAGAATAGAATGGAAGTCAGATTGTTTTATTAGTATGCAGTTGTAAAGACTGGCTGGAATTGGATAAGCAGGCATGTGAATGAATGGGCACAAAACTTCAAATTGTCTAAGTCAAGCATGTCATTGTTGAATGATTGAAGAAGGAAGTGCTTCTTATTAGATTTTAGGAAAATTTTCCTACTCAATAAAGAAATCATAATTTCAATCTTAAACTGGAGGAACGCCTTTAGGCTAAATAGCCAAAACCCCAAATGTAAAAAATAAAATTGTTTTTCACTTGAGTTAAACGAGTTACTTTGTACTATCAAAATAATTTCAACCTTTTATAGCAACGTGGTCTTCGGGTTACAGGAAAGATTGAGATCCAACCATGGTTGTGCTGGAAACCGCTTTTCCACTCATTGTTAAAAATGTTAATTTTTCATCTTTTATAATTAAATTGATTTTATAAATATATATACAATATTTCTTTCAAATTAATTTTGTTCAATTTAAAGGATCAGGATATTTCTTAAATTGGGAAGCATCTCAATAATTAAATCTTCTTAACTAATTTTAATTGTGCACCTCCTATACATACATATATATATATATATATGCATGAATTTTTTTTTAGTACATCTAATAATGATGGGTTATATAAGAGGAAATAACTCCATTTTTCCCTAAATCCTTTCTTACTAGATTTAAGATTCAAAATTTAAATTTAAAATCTCTAATTTGAAATTTTAAATTATTAATCATTGAATCATCATTGAAATATATATATATATATATATATAGGTATGGTATATATATTTAAGAAACAATATCACAATATAAGATGGGCTATAGCCATAGTACAATACAGACATCCTAATTAGATAGTTAATATTGAGAATATAGGTGGAAGCTTAACTTACGGAGATTTATTTTTGTACTTTTTAAACATCTCTTTCTATTTTAAGGATTAGACTCTTTGAAGGTTTAAATTTAAGTTGTTTATAAATTACAAATTTGCTATATCAAAAATCAAAATGTACTCTTTCGTTACATCATGCATTACTTCATTCCTTAATGCTTTGCAGTTATTAAATTTTATATATATATATATATAAATCAAAACTTTGCTGGCGGCTGTGAAATTTAATTGGATTTCATGTGCTTATGTGGTGGGTTGGTAGAACGACCAAGTGGTTTGCATGCTCCGATTTGAAATCTCATGTGTTGTTGCATCTATTTGGGCTATGGCAATTCTTGGGTTGTCAACGAGCTGAAGGTGAAGAGTTGTGGTTGGGACTTGGGAGGTTTGGGACAAGCATGGTGTGGAAGTCGGTTACTACTACTTTTCTTGATGAGCTTGGTTTCCCTCTTGGTGAGCTTGGTTCCCTCTTGCAAATGACTTTAAGAAAATTGATCATATTGTGGGTTTCCTCTTAGCTTTAATCTAGGGATTAAATTAACACGTTCAATTCTTAAGGACAATATATAGTCGCACAAGAGGAGAAAGAAAAAGATGCCAAAGGTTTGGAGAGGTTCTAATCACTACTACATTTGACATCTGCAGCTACAAACCCTTGGCTACAGAAGGTGTTATCATAACTAGTATAAAAATATAGCCTTTTCTTGTATGATGGTGTTATGGTAGGTAGGGGACTATTGTTGCGCCTTTTCTTGCTCTCACCTAGCTTTCGATGCTGTAGGTGTAGTTACTCAGAAACTTATGGACACTGAAGTTGGATAACGATTTTCTTTTTGCATGTAAAAACATTCCTATGACATTTCTTAGTACTTGATTCATTCAAATATGGCACATTTGTATGCTACTGTTATAAGTAGTTGCTTTTTATATAAGATATCTTTCACGATGAACTTAATGTACTTTCATAGTTATCAATAAAATCTATGATTTTTATAAAAAAAAAATAATTATATATACAGTATTTCTTAATATTATTTTTTTAATAGAATGTAATTATTTACATATTAATTAAGGAAATGAAAAAAGAGATTTTATTGGGCTTGAACATGCAACCCATAAAAAGTGGAATGATTCTAACTCAGACTCTAATACCACTACGTCAAAACGGACAATTTATTTCTTTATATTGTTTAGTTTAAATGGTCAAAATATTTTTGATTGATAACTATCTTAAAACTATTTCTTTCTAAATAGTTTTAATGATGCACCTTTAAAATAGGTATGGTGCATTTAAGAAATGACAACGCAATACAAGATGGGCCATGGCCTTAATCCTAAAAAATAGAGCTAATATTAAGGATGTGATAGGTCTGAATTTTATGCAATTTTTACATGCCTTTCCATCTTAAATTTTAGTTTTTGAGTTGTTTGAGTCATTTAATTTGATTTTACATATATTTAATCTTTTTTTGCATAGATGAGGACTAAATTGTAAGAAATGGGAATTTTTAGGACCAAACCAAAGAAATCAGAATTATAAAATAAAAGTGTCAACTTGTTAAAAGATGAGAAACTGCAAAAGTTTTACCAACGAAAAATCAAAATTGCTTAAAAGGCCAAAACCCGAACACAAACTTTTTATTCAGAAATTTAGTGACAATGTCGGTATCTCTTTTAGAATGTCGACCCCTTGGGCAGTATTCAGTGCACAGTTTTGAGCATTGGGGTGAAGAGAAAACGGAGAAAAACAAAAGAGGGGCGGTGGGCGTTTTGAAGGAGAAGGTAGTTTCTTCAGCAAGATAAGGGAGTTCTCTAGTAATAGCATTGTTTAATTTTGAATCCTTTCTTTATTTTTGTTGAAAATGAGATTTTCATTACAATTGATTTTTATACAATTAATTATAAACTAAGTTATTTCTTTTGAGGTTTCGATTGGATTCAAACCATGAATCTTTAAGTTTTTAGTAGGATTCAATTTCAATTTATTCCTTATTCAATTGAACATTTTTTTTTATACTTAATACCTCTAGTTGAATTGATTATTCAATTAGTTGTTTAGGTATCCAACACTTATCTTGGAAAAGAAATATTGGAGTTGAATCCTTGAATAAAATAACACAGGTTGCATAAGATAGGAATATACTCATAATATCTATGTACTTTGAAAAGAAAAATCATAGGACTTAAACAATACTTCTTATTTTGATTATGTAGAAATGCAAAAATTAATATGTTAGAAGGCAAATATTGCTAGCTCTTGGGAAATATTCATAATTTTTATATGAATTTTTCTACTATCACTTGGGAATTAATTGGTTGAGGAAAAAAAAAATTCAATAAGAGAAGTTTGAAGAGGAATGGGTTAGTAAAAATTGTATTCTTGAATTGTTTAGCAATTAAAATTAATTTCTACAAGTTTGTTTAATTTAGAATTGATTTAATCAAGTTTCTTCTTCTTAAATTTCAAAATTTTAGTTAAAATTAGAATTAATATAATGTCTATACTTATCAAGTGCTTTTTTAGTTTTAACTTCTGTGATACAATTAATGTTCAATTAAGTATTATATTGTTTGTTTGACAAAAATATGCACTTGCATTTAGTGTTATAGTCATAATAGGATGTAGGTTGAAGCCTAACTCATGGAGGTCTATTTCTGTACTTTTTTAAATATCTATTTGAGAAAAAGTGTAAATAAGAATATCAACTTTATAATTTTTTTATTTAAGGATGTTAATTTTACTAATTTTTAAATAAGTATGTTAATTTTTAACTTTTTTTTATTTAAAATGTTAACTTTCAATCTTTTTTATCTAAAAATATCAACTTTTAACTTTCTTTTAAGATATTAATATTTTTTTAAAATTTCGTTTGTTATATCAGTATTACCATTCAATCAATTCCTAAATAAAAAAAAAAGTTAAAAGTTACTATCCCAAAATCAAAAAAGTTAAAAGTTAACATTTTTAAATAGAAAAAATTGAAAATTGACATATTTATTTAGAAATTGAAAAGGTTAATATTTTTAAATAGAAAAATGATCTTTCATTACATCATGCATTTTATCATTCCTCAATATTTTACAATTATTATTAAATTAAGGAAGATTTATTTACGTACAAATTTTACACATTATATTTATACAAAAGCTTGATCACTCATCTCTTCACTTATAATAATTGAGAGTTATCATAATTTTTTTAATAAAAAAATAATTATCTTTAATATATATGAATAAATTTTAACTATTAAAAGTGAAAAGATAAATAATTAAAATTTTATATAAATATAATATATAAACTTATATATTAAAAGATTCATACTCTATTAAGTTATATCCATGTGATATAACTAGAGGGTAATTAAAGAAAAACAATAGTAAAATCATTACATGTTAGTAGACTTTAATTTAACCTTTGTTTTGTGGGCCGAGATTGATGGTTTAACGAATTTAAAATATTGGGTTAGTACTAGTCTTAGTGGGCCATTTTTTGGATACTAAAAATATAAAATTAACATGTTTGGTTCCCAGGAAAATGTATGGAAAGAAACATGAAAATGACATATACTACGGATTTCAACTCACAACTACAACTAATTGCTGAGTGCTTTCCCCTTCATAAACAGACAGGCTATTACTCTGACCGTCTGAACCAAAAACAAGCAGGCTATTGATCTGTTGAAAAAAAAAAAAAAAACAGGTAAGCAATGGAAAATTAGACCATGTTGAACCCACGCTAATCAACGATCATAAAATTTATGCCCTCATTCACTTCCTTCATTCCTTGATTGAATATTGAAAATGTCAAACATTTAAACTTTAAACTTGTAATGTCTCTTATACATGTACAAGAGAGAACACCTTAGCAAAGGTAATTAAATTTAAATATCTAATCATAATAGAATTTTTATTTTTTTTACATATAATTTTATAATTTTTGAATACTAAAAATACCTCAAAACAATTTAAATACATTTCAAAACTAATTTTTTTTTTTAAATTGACATTAAAAGTGCAACTTAACATTGTTTTGAACTGGCAATTTAGATATACCAACCAGAAACACGAATACCCATACCATTAAAAAGGTTGTGTTCCAGAAATTGACAATCAAACTCTAATCAAAGAAAAGATTTGCTTTGAATATTTGGAAAACAAATTATCGACCATTTAGGTCTAAGGTGATGGTGAGTTTCCCGCCGCTAATTGATGCATCCAACTCCTGTCTGATTGGAGGAGGCATGGCCGGCCACATGAAAGCCGGTTTCTCCTTTGGCACAACCGGAGCAGTAGCTTCCCCTGTAAGAACCTGCAAAGCAGTGCTCATTAATGGCCTTTCGTACGGATTCGGATGGCAACATGCTAACCCCAACATCACTATGCACTCTGCTTCATCCTTCTTGAATTCCCCATTCAATCTCACATCTACAACATCCCCAATCCTCTCCATCCCGTAATTTTCCCAAACCCAATCCACAATACCGTGTTCATTATCGGGTTTTCTCCCACAAACAACTTCCAGAATCAAAACACCAAATGCATAAACGTCTGTTTCCACCGTGGCCTTCCTGGTATGGAAGATTTCTGGGGCCATGTACCTTGGAGTTCCGGCGATCTCCTTGGTGGAATGGTGTGTTTTTTCACTCACCTGAATCGTCCTGGCCAAACCAAAATCCCCCAACCGAGCATTGAACTCAGAATCCAACATTATGTTGCTTGGCTTCACATCTCGATGAAGAACCCTTCTCTCACAACCGTAATGGAGGTAATCCAACGCCCGAGCCACACCGCAGATGATGCCATGCCTTCTTTCCCAGCTCAAGATTGTATCAGCCTCTTGGAAAATGAACTTATCTAGACTCCCATTAGGCATGATTTCATAAACCAGGAGGAGTTCATTGCTTTCATAGTACCATCCGAAGAGTTTTACAAGGTTTCTGTGATGAAGATTGCTTATGGTTGTCACTTCCGCAAGGAAATCCTGCTTTCCATGGCGGGTGTTCTTCAGAATTCTTTTTACAGCCACCTCTCTATTATTCAGGATGCCTTTATACACCATCCCGAATCCTCCTTTCCCCAACTTGTAGGCAACGTTGAAATCTCTGGTGGCATCTTTGAGTTCCTGCAATCGAAATTTCTGCGGCGCAGTTGATAAACTCTGAATTTCTTGTTCAACCTCCAATTCATCTTCTTCCATTTGTTTCTTTCTGTTTCTCCGCTTCCAGTAAAAGAAATAGAAACACCATGAAAACAGAATTACCAAAACAAGAACTGGAATCAAAATCCAAAGCCAGAGGAGGTTGATCGAATTTTTGACTCTGATCTCCAAACTGGTGAAAGTCCAGGATTTAACATAATTCAACTCTATATTCTCTCCGGTTGAAACCGAAAACCCCACCCAAACATCGGCTGGAAGTTTTGTAGAGAGATCAAGATGAACATTCAACACCGGCTTGTCGAAATTCCCTTCACCTGCTTCCCCTGTTCTGGTTGAGAACACAAAAACTGAAATTTTTTCAGATTTTGCATCATACTGAATGCTTGCGGTGATATCTTCACCGGTGGAAAGATTTGACGCCATGATTAATTAAGGGTTCCTGGTTGATTGAGGAGATGCTGTTGATATTGACCCCAACATGATTATCGTCAATATCTTCAGAATCACTCTTTTTGGTATCGAATTCTATGGCAACAATGTTCAGTAGACTGACTGTAGTTGAATTCACTATTCCGAGCCATTTACCGTAGCTGTTATTGGGGAGAGAGCTGTCCTCTGTTAATATGAAGGCTAACCCCTCGCCGCCTGGTGAGGTCACTGGATCTATGTTGAACACGAATGTGGAATTGAATGAGGACTTTGTGCCTCTTGGTCCATCCCATAGTTTCAATCTTTGATTGTATAGGACCCTCCCTGATACGTTCCGCATAGCACTTTCTCTGGAATCATCAGGAGTGACTTGAATGGCATTGTGGGAGATGAAAGAGGAATCACTAAAACTAAAATCACGGTAATGTCGAACGCTAAATGAAGGGTAAGAAAAATTCAAGCATCCTACATGAACAGTGTTGATGCATCTGAGTATGATTAGAAGCTTCAAAACTCGAAGGAAGGACATGAATCCGAGCATATGAAACTTCAATCTTGATTTCTGGGTTCATGGATAGATGAATGAAGAAATGCAAGGTCAAATCGTGCTCAGATCAGAATAGAATTGAAGTCCGATAGTTTTATTAGTATGCAGTTGTAAAGACTGACTAGAATTGTATAACAGGCGTGTGAATGAAATGGGCACAAATCTTCAAATTGTCTAAGTCAAGCGTGTCCTTGTTGAATGATTGAAGAAGGTAGTGCTTCTTATTAGATTTAGGAAAATTCTCCTACTCAATAAAGAAATCATAATTTCAACCTTATATTGGAGGAACGCCTTTAGGCTAAATAGCTAAAACTCAAAATGTAAAAAATAAAATTGTTTTTCACTTGAGTTTAAACGACTTTGTGATATCAAAATAATTTCAACCTTTTATAGCAACGTGGTCTTTGGGTCAAAGGAAAGATTGAGATCCCACCATGGTTGTGCTGGAAACCGCTTTTGCATGCATTGTTAAAAACGTTAATTTTTCATCCTTTATAATTAAATTGATTTTATAATTATATATACAATTTTTCTTTCAAATTAATTTTGTTCAATTTAAATTGGGATGCCTCTCAATAATTAATTCTTCTCAACTAATTTTATTTGCGCACCCCCTATATATATAGGTATGATACATTTAAGAAACAATATCACAATATAAGATGGTTCATAGCCATAGTACAGACATCCTAATTAGACAGAGTTAGTATCGAGAATGTAGGTTGAAGCTTAACTTATGGAAATTTATTTTCATACTTTTCTAAATGAAAAATGATTTACATTCTTGGTTCAACACATTTTTTTGACACATTTTCAATTTAATTATTAAAAATATAATATAAATATAATGAATTCAATTAGTTTTTATATCATATGTATATGATTATATCATTAAATTTATTTATTTTTAATTTTATATTAAATAATAATAATTTTTTAATAAAAATATCATGCAATATATTGAACAAAAATGTATATCATCCATTTTCTTTTCTAAACATCTCTTTCTGTTTCAAAGTTTAGACTCTTTAAAGGTTTAGATTTAAAATATTTATAAATTACAAATTTGCTATATCAAAAAGGTCTTTCATTACATCATGCATTACATCATTCCTTAATGCTTTGCAGTTATTAAATTACATACATGTAATGTAACTAAAGAGTAAATAAAGAAAAACAATAGTAAAATCATTACATGTGAATGGACTTTAATTTAACCTTTGTTC